CAATTTTTTATTGTGGTAAACTACACAAGACATAAAATGTATCCTCTCAACCATTTTTAAGTGTACAGATTCAGTGGTATTAAATGCACTCGTAATGTCGTGCAATCATCACCACCATCCATCTCTATGACGCTTTTCATCTTGCAAAAGCTAAGTCACTGTACCCATTAAACAATAACTCCCCATTTTCCCCTTCCCCAGCCCTTTGCAACCACTATTATACTTTTTCTGTCTCTATGAGTTTGACTACTCTAAGTACCTCATATAAATGGAATCATACAGTATTTGTCTCTTTGTGACTGGCTTTTTCCATTTAGCATAATATCTACAAAGTTCATGTATGTTGTAACACATGTCAGAATTTCCTTCCTTTTAAAAACTGAATAATATTCCATTGTATGGCTATCCCACACTTTGCTTGTCCATTCATCTGTTGATGGACACTTGAGCTGTGTGTCTTAGTCCCCTTAGTGTTGCTAGCCAGGAATACCTGAGGCTGGGTAATTTATGAAGACAAGAGGTTTCTTTGGCTCATGGTTCTGCAGGCTGTACAAGAAGCATGGCACTAGCATCTGCCTTTGGTGAGGGCCTCAGGCTGTTTCCACTCATGGCAGAAGGTGAAAGGGCGCTGGTATGTGAAGCAATCGCATGGTGAGAGAGTGGAAGCAAGAGGGGGGAAGGTTCTAGGCTCTTTTTATCAACCAGCTTGTGGGGAAACTAAGAGAGTAAGAACTCATTACCTTGAGGATGGCAGCAAGCCATTTGTAAGGGATCTGCTTCCATAACCTAAACACCCCCACTAGGCCTCACATCCAATGCTGGGGATCAAATTTCAGCATGAGGCTTGGAGGGTCAAATATCCAAATGATAGCAGGTTGCTTCCATGTTTTAGCTGTTGTGAATAATGCTGCTATGAACATGGGTGTTCATCTCTTTGGGACTCTGCTTTTAATTCTTTTGGGTATGTACTCAGAAGTGTAATTGCTGTACCATGTGGTAATTTTATTTTTAATTTTTTGAGGAAAACTTATGTTGTTTTCCACAGTGGCTATACCATTTTACATTCCTGTCTTCCCATTCTCTTGATGTAACTGCATCAGAAGAATCTAGCTAGACTTTTATGTAATAAAGTTGTGAGTTGTTTTTTTAGTTGCCATGAACCCCCAGTTTGAAAGTCATGTGACCCGAGCATGCTTAGATAAACCAAGCAGTGCAGCCATGGGCAGAACCTAAGTGTTCAGAAGGATGGGGGGGGGGACTAAATTAAGAAGTGGACGCTGCATGGCAGGATCCAAGATCCAATCAGATTGAGGCCTGGTGTCATCCTATGGCAGGATCCAGTCAAATCATGGCTCCTGGCATGACATAATTGCAAGATCCAATCAGATCATGCCTCATTATCTTATTCTTATAAAACTTGACCCAGTCCCCAGCTCAGGGAGACAGATTTGAGTGTTTCCTCCTGTCTCTTTGCCAGTCAACTTGGAATAAAATTTTTCTTTTCTCAAAAGCTGGTGCTATGGTATTGGCTTCAGGCAGCAAGCCCACTGATGGCTCAGTAACATTGACGGTTTCCTTCACAGAGCAAAAGTTTTTAATTTTAGCGAAGTCTAGCTTATCAATATTTCTTTCATAGATCATGCCTTTGATGTTGTATCTATAAAGTCATTGCCATATCCAAAGGTCATCTAGATTTCCTCCATGTGACATTTTCACCTATGTTATCTTCTAGGAGTTTTATAGTTTTGCATTTTACATTTACATCTATAATCCATTTTGAGTTTAGTTTTGTAAGGGGTGTAAAGTTTATGTCTAGATTCACATTTTTTCAAGTGGAAGTCTACTTGTTCCAGTGCCATTTTTTTGAAAAGAATCTGTTTATCGAATCACCTTTGCTCCTTTGTTAAAAATCAGTTGTCTGTATTTATGTGGGTCTATTTCTGGACTTCCTATTCTATTCAATTAATCTATGTCTATTTTTTCGCTAGTACAACATTGTCTTGATTATTGTAGTTTTGTAGTAAATCTTAAATTCAGGTAATGTTCATCTTCCAACTTTGTTTTTCTCCTTCAATGTTGTCTTGCCTATTCTGGGTCATTTGCCTTTCTAGATCAACTTTAAAATAAGTTTATCGATACACACAAAATAACTTTTTGGAATTGTGTGTGAATCTACAGACTAAGTTGGGGAGAACTTACATCTTGACAATCTTATATCTTGACAATATTGAGTATTCCTATTAATGAACACAAAATATCACTCCACTTATTTAGTTTGTCTTTGATTTCTGTCATCATATAGATCTTGCACATATTTTGTTATATTTATACTTAAGTGTTTCATTTTGGGAGGTGATAATGTAAATAGTATCCTGTTTTAAATTCCAAATTCCATTTGTTCATTGCTGGCATATAGAAAGGCAACTGACTTCTGTAAATCAACATTGTATCCTGCACCTTGTTGACTGTTTTAGATTTTCTACATAGACAATTACGTCATCTGTGAGCAAAGACAGTTTTGTTGATTCTTTCAGATTTTCAACATAGACAAGCATGTCATCTGTGAACAAAGACAGTTTTGGTTCTACATTCCTGATCCAAATACCTTTTATTTCCTTTTCTGGTCTTACTTTATTAGCTGTTCATTTATTCATTTAGTTGTTCATGTACTCATATATTATCCTTTAAATGTCCATGGCATTTGTAGTGATGTCCTTTCCTTCATGTCTACTATTAATTTGGGTCTTCTCTAATTTTTTCCTAGTTAGCCTGGCTAGAGGCTTATCAATATTATGGAATTTTTAAAGAACAAGCTTTTGGTTGCATTTATTTTATTTATTGACTTTTCTCTTTCAACTTCATTGATTTGTCCTGTAATTTTTATTATTTCTTTTCTTCTGCTTACTTTGTATTTAATTTAATCTTCTTTTTTTAGTTTCCCAAAGTGTAAGTTTAGATTATTGTCTTAGTCAGCTCAGGCTGCTATAACAAAATACCACTGACTGTGTGGCTTAAACCACAGATATTTTTTTCTCACAGTTCTGGAGGCTGGAAAGTTTAGGATCAGGGTGCCAGCATGACTGGGTTCTGGTGAGGGTCCTCTTCATGGGTTTCAGATGGCTGCCTGCTTGCTGTATCCTCATATGGTAGAGAGAGGAAGCTCAGGTGTTTTTTTCCTCTTTTTATCATGGAGTTCCACCTGTATGATCTCATCTAAATCTAATTATTTTCAAAAGACCCCACCTCCTAATACCATCACATTCAAGGTTAGGGCTTTGACATATGAATTTTAGAGGTACGCAAACATTCAGTATATAACAATTATTGATTTTAAATCTTTATTATTTTCTAATATATGCATTTATTGCTATACATTTCCCTTTAAGCACTACTTTCATTGTATCCCACAAATTTTGATATGTTGTTTTTTCAGTTAGTTCAAAATATCTTAAAATTTCTCTTAAGATTTCTTTTTTGATCCATGAGTTATTTAGAAGTGCACTATTTAGTCTCAAGTATTTTTGAATTTTTCAGCTATCTTTCTGTTATGGATTTCTAGTTTAATTCCATTGTGGTTTGAGGTTAGACGTTGTATGATTTCTATTCTTTTAATTTGTTAAAGTGTGTTTTATGGTCTGGAATGTGTTCTATCTTGGTAGATGTTCCATGTGAACTTGAGAAGAATGTGTATTCTGCTGTTTTGTAATAAAGTAGTCTATAGATGTTAATTATATCCAGTTAATTAATGAGGCTATTGAGTTCAAGAATGCCCTACTGATTTTCTGGCTGCTGGATCTGTCCATTTCTGACAGAGGGGTATTGAAGTCTGCAACTATAATAGTGGTTTCTTGTATTTCTCCTTGCAGTTCTATGTATTTTTGCCTCATGTATATTAATGCTGTTTTTAGGTGTATACACATTAAGGATTGTTGTGTCTTCTTGGATAATTGAGCCCTTTATCATTATGTAATACCTTTTTTTATTCCTAATAACTTTCCTTGCTCTCAAGTCTGCTGTCTAAAATTAATATAGCTATCATACTCTCTTTTCATTAGTGTTAGCAGAATTTACTTTTATCCATTCATTTACTTTTAATCTATACATATCTTTATATTTAAAGTGGGTTTCTTATACAGTTACATCTTTTTGATCCACTCTGATAATCTGTCTTTTAATTAGCATATTAGACCATTGACATTTAACATGATTATAGATATATTTGGACTAATATCTACCATAGTTATTACTCTTTTCTATTCATTGTACTTGTTCTTTGTTCCTATTTTTGTCTTCCATTCTTTTTCTGCATTTTGTGGCTTTCATTGAGCATTTTATATGATTCCATTTTCTCTCCTTTCTTAGCATGTTAATTATAAATTTTTTTTTAACTTCTTTCAGTGGTTGCCCTAGATTTTGCAATGTTCATTTACAACTAATCCAAGTCCACTTTCAAATAACACTATATCACTTCAGGGACAGTCCACATACCTTATAATAACAAATTGTTCCTAATTCCTCCCCCCAGTTCCTTGAATCATTTACTGAATCATTTACTGCCATGTGTTTTGCTTACACATAAATATACATAAGCATATATACACATAAAAACATCCATAACAGAATATATTGCTGCTATTTTTCTAACAAACTGTTATATGTTAGATCAATTAAGAACAAGGAAAATAGTCACAGAACATCCTGTGCAGTTAAAAAAAAGAATAAGAAAAATAGAAGTTTTTAATTTTACCTTGACTTATTTCTTCTGTGATACTCTTCCTTTCTTTATGTAGCTCTGAGTTTCTGATCTATATCATTTTCTTCTTTCTGAAGAAAGGCAGGCAACAAATTCCGTCAGTTTTTGTTTGTCTAAGCAATTATTTATTTCTCCTTCAGTTCTGCAATCATTTCACAAAATTTTAGATTAATGTTTTTTTCTCTTGACACTTAAAATATTTCAGTCCACTGTCTTTTAAGCTTGTTTGGCTTCTGAGAAGTTAAATGTAATTCATATCTTTGCTGTTCTATAGGTAAAAATTTTTCCCCTTTTGGCTTCTTTATCTTTGATTTCCTACAATTTGAACATGATATGCCAAGGTATAGGTTTTATTTTGGGCCAGGGTTGGCATTTATTCTGCTTGGGGTTCTCTGAGCTTCCTGGATCTGAGGTTTGGTATCTGACATTAATTTGGGGTAAATTCTCAGTCTTTATTGCTTCAAATATTTCTTCTGTTCCTTTCTCTCTTCTCTTTCTGATATTCTCATTTATACACATTACACCTTTTGTAGTTGTCCCACAGTTCTTGGATATTTTGTTCTTTTTTTTTTTTTAATAGTCTTTTTTCTCTTTGCAAGTTTCTATTGACATATCCTCAATCTCAGAGTTTTACCTCCAGAAGCTCTACCAGGTTCTTACAGAGATGTTCAGAGAAAAATCCCTTCATGTTTCTGGGGAAAAGTAACCATTTTGAAATATTCCAAAGCTTTCTGTTCTTCTGAACAAGTCCTGCCTTCAAGGGAAACTATTTTACCAATTCCTCAGCCATGTCCAGTGTACTAATGAGCCCATCAAAGGCATTATTCATTTTTATTACAGTGTTTTTGAACTCTAGCTTTATAAAAACTCTTTCTTAGAATCTCCATCTCTCAAAAACAAAACAAAAAACAAAATAATCTCCAGCTCTCTGTTTACGCTAACCATTCGTTCTTGCATGTTGCCTACTTTTCCATTAGAGCTCTTCTTAGTGTATTAATCATCTTTGTTTTAAATTCCCAGTCTGATAATTCCAACATCCCTGCCATATCTGAGTCAGATGCCTGCTCTATTTTTTAAAACTACAAATTTTGCCTTTTGGCGTGTCTTGTAATCTTTTACTGAAAGCTAGACACAATGTACTGGGTAAAAGAACTCTGATAAATAGTCCTTAGTGGCATGGTTGTAAGATGCGGGGCTTTGGGGGTAGGGTAAGCCTTTTATAGCATTAGATATAATTAGGTGTCAGTTTTTTAATGAGCCTGTGCCCATGGGCTGTGAACTTCACAGAGCTTCCCAGTCTCTGCCCTTCACCCCATCTATGTGGGACAGGAGGACTGCAGTGGCTACAGTGAGCTGGCATTGGGTATTTCCCTTCCCCCAGATTGTTTAGTCTCTGATAAAGCTCCATTAGGTTAGGCTCTGGTAAAATAGTTTCCCTTGAAGGCAGGACTTATTCAGAAGAACAGAAAGCTTTGGAATATTTCAAAATGGTTACTTTCCCCCAGAAACATGAAGGGATTTTTCTCTGAACATCTCTGTAAGAACCTGGTACAGCTTCTGGAGGTAAAATTCATGAAAACTTGAGGATCCCCCTTCTGACTGGGACCCACTGGAGTTTTCCTTTTTCAACCTTGTCCACGCTGAGCCTTTAGCAATTCATCAGCTACAGTTTAGGTCTCCCTACCCTGGCTCTGGTTCCCACAGAGGTTCCTGCTCGTGGGTTTCTTCTTTGGTAAGTTGTGATCCGCTGAATCTGTCTCTCTAATTTTGGAGACAGTAATTTGTCTTATGACCTCACATCTATGATGGGTTTCAGAAGCATTGTTGATGATTCCGTTTGTTCAGCTTTTTACTTACTGTTGGGATGTAATGATGACTTCCAAGCTCCTTACATGTTGGATGAGAAACTGGAAGCCAACCTTATGTTAATTAAGAAAATAAAAGGCCCTTAAAAACAGTTAAAATAAGTTTTATGTTATGTATGTTTTGCCACATTAAAAATTTTCAAAAAGAAAAGAAAGAAGTTATAAATAGGGAATAGAGTGTAAGGAATAAATCAACTTTTCTACATGTTTGCAAGATATCTCTACTTGGTTATGGCATCAACACATCAAAGTCAACATATTCAGAATATCTTTAACTTACCTTGCCTCCTATGTTCTTGATTATTGCCACCTTTTTGTCAGTCACCTATGCTTGAAACTTCGGGTCATCTTTGACCACTCTCTATACCCAAAGGTTTATCTGTTGCCGTGTCAGGTCTGTTATGCAGCCACAGTTTAGTCATATGTTCATTGTTTCTTCTCCTTCCCTCTTGCCCTCCTGTAGCATTGCCACTTGCCAGGACTTCAGAAATTGCTTCCTGGCATTTCCCTGCCTTCAGAGTCAGCTTTGGAGTCAGACCAATCTGAGATTAAATCCTAGCTCTGCCATTGATAGCTGTTTGACTTTGGTTAAAATAAACTTAACCTCGTCGAACCTCACGCCTTGCTGCACTTTGGATATTTGTTCCCTCCAAAACTCATGTTGAAATATAATCCCCAATGGGGCAGTACTGAGAGGTGGTGCCTTTAAGAGGTGATTGGATCATGTGAGCTCTGCTCTTATGGATGGATTAATCGATTCATGGGTTAATGGATTAATGGGCTATCATGGGAGTGGAATTGGCGTCTTTATAAGAAGAGGAAGAGAGACCTGAGGGTAGCACACTAGCACACTCAGCCCCTTTGCCGTGTGATACACTGCACTGCCTTGGGCCTCTGCAGAGAGTCCCCACTGGCAAAAAGACTCTCACCGGCTGCAGCCCCTTCACCTAGGACTTCTCAGCCTCCATAACTATAAAAAGTAAATTTATTTTCTTTAGAAATACTCAGTTTCAGGTATTCTGTCATAAACAAAAGAAAACTGACTAATATAGGCATCTTCTGTAAAACTGACATAATAATAATAATAATGCTCAATTTACAGGGTGATTTGTGAAAATGGGAAAACACCATGGGCCAGGCACTGAATCTTACATGCATTATCTATTGCTTTCATTAAATGAGACAATGTATGTAAAGATTTTGGTATGGTGTTGGGTGCATAGTAAGTATTCAATCATTGCTAGCTGCTTCATGTAATTACTCTTCATTTCAGTCCAGTTTAGGCATCAACTGGCAAATTAATTTTCACAATGAGTATTTTTCAATTATGTCCATCATTTGCTCAAAATCTTTCTTTGATTTCTTCTTGCCTGTTGAAATAAGTCCAAAGTCCTCTGCCAAGCATTCAAAGATCTATCTGATCAGTTCCCTCCTTCCTTTCTGATTTTATTTCCTGAATTTCACTGCTCACCTTATGCCGTACTTACCCAGTGGTTTTCTCTCCCCTTTAGTTTTGTTCAAATTGTTTCCTCTTCCTGGAATGCCCTTCCTCCCCCGATTTTGCTTAGTAAATATTTGCTGAGTAAATAGATGGTGTCCTTTGGAAAAGCTCTCTCAGAGAAGCCAGTTCTTATCCCTGCTATATGCCCTCCTGTGGTGTAGACCCACAGGGCAGGCTGTGTGTGTTTCCAGGAGGACTCTGTGGGGGAGGCATACATACAAACTGAGAGGTTTTAAAGAAGTCACCCCTGCTCCACAGTCCCTCATCCTCTCTTACATACTGATGCTACATAATACTGATGCCAAGAGGTGACACAGCTAAACTCCTCTTGTTCAATTAACCTCTGAGTTCAGAGCATATTTACTGAGTACCTACTAAGAGCTCCGCAACTCCTTCCGAACTGTGGGGGTCAAGACACATTTAAGACCATCTGGCTGGAGGAGGGAAGACTTGTGCAACATTGGCAAACAATGCATGGGAATTCAGAATTGGTTTCTAAATTTGCTTCTGTTGCTAAAGAGAAGTCTTTGCCCAGGATGAGCCTGTGCAGTAGAGAAGGGATCAGAGAGGCTGCGGCTGGTTGAAGCTTTGCAACAGCCCTGCCTGGGGTGCGTCTCCATGTCCTGCAAGCTTGGAGAATGTATGGTATGCTAAGGCAAACATCTGCTGTGGACTGGGAAAATGCAAACCAATGAAATTCTCCATTCATGAGGTAAGCCAGGCCCAGGACAGTCAGTCCCCTAAAAGGTAGCTTTCCTAAAACCGCTGGTAACTTTCTGCTGCTAAAGATACAGGGGCAGGTGGAGGTTTTTCCCCAAGGACCTGCTCCCACACCCAATATAGTCCATGGGTCCAGCACAAGCTCAGTCACTTAAAATGCTAAGACATCTTTAATGACAGTAGGAGAAATAAGCACAGGAAGATGAGAAGCTGGCACCTGTAGCCTTGTCATCTTACTCAGTATCTCAGCCCAGCTCAACTCACTAGCTAAGCTCTTGACAAGTCTCTAATCTAGGCTTTACTCTCAGAATATTCTAGCTCCTAGGTTATGCAGAATAAGATAAAAATTAAGCCTGGACCACTAGCTTTGAAATCAAATGTATTTGGGTTTGAACCCATTTCAACCCTTTAGTGGCTCTTTGACCTTGAAACTCAGAAATGTTGTCTGAGAATCAGTTTCCTCATTTTGACAACTGGGGTGAGGCTACTGATGTTGAGGTTTGTTGTAAGGATTTAATGAACTGATGTGTGCAGAGTGCCTGACAGTAGGTGCTCAATATTTGATGGTTATCATCACCGTGACAATTACTAGAGGACCCTCCCCATACTTCTCCATGCCCAAACTATCTTCTTTAAAGATACCTAGACTCTGAATTTAACAGCTCTCTCTTTCTCTGTATTCTCCTTACACCTCTTAATAACAATATGTGTAAATAAAACTAATAGCCACAGCACAGCTACCACCTACTACATACCCATGCCCTGTGGTGGGGCTTTCTGAACATTGTCTCCAATCCTAACCATTTCCAGTTTACAATGCAGGAAACTGAAGCTCAGAGAAGAGAAGTGACTTGCCCAAAGTGATGGAGTTGTAACTAGAACTCAGGCCTTCTCCCTCCAAACACATGCTCTTTCCATTTAATCACATTTTCTCCTCTGGGAAGAGAAGTCTCTCTTTTCTGGGCACAAAGACCAGATATACTAGCTACTCCTAACAACTTTCAGACCTTTTCTAATAGTATGCCTCTGTCATGCAATTAATTCATTCATTCACTCTGCAAATGTTTATTGAGTGTATATTAGGTGCTAAGGATATAAAAATGATTAAGACAGGCTATATCTTCAAAGAATTTATACTCTGATGGGGAGACACACACATAAATAGATAAGTGGGGAAATCAGTGATTAGATCAAAGGACACAGTGGGACCCCACAGTCCAGATGGGGTTGGAGGGAGAAATGACAATGTCAGAACAGACTTTCACAGGAGGCGATTTTAATTGATTCATTATCCTGCTCTTTATTTCATTAATTCCAGAAATGTGTTTTGAGCAACTACTCTGTTTCAGGCTCTAGGCTAAGCCCTGGGATTAAACATGCGCATGGTTTCCTCCAGTCTATGCCCCAAGAAATTTATAGTCTAGCCAGGAGGGATGGACTATAAATAATTAAATGCCATTAAAATTGTGTTGGGGTTATTCCAGAAGGATGTAAAAGTTATTTTGGTGGTAGGGATGGTTGGGTGCACAAGGGTTAATTCTGAAGGGCAAGTGGTGTTTCAGAGATCCAGTTTCTTTTAAACATGTTTTTTCCTTTTTCCTATTCATCCCTGTCTTGCTGTTTTTTTGGCACTTTAAAAACCTTTGAGGATATCCCACAGACCATGCCAAGTAAAAATAGCACATCTTAAACTGCATTTATATTTAAGCACATTCTCCAGGGAAAGAAGTTTTAATTCAAACCACAATACATCAGGATTGGGCGATGTCTCCATAACCAGCAACATCTTTGTGAAATGAAGAAGATGAGACTTTGGCCATAGTATTACAAAATGAATTATTAACTATATTTTAACTGCCAGTTATTTGACCACTATTGCCCTCTATAGAGTTGACAACAGTACAGGAAAAAGTCCAGCTTACAATTGCATGACTCTCCTCTCATAAATCATTCCTTAGGCTTGGTAAACTTCATACTCACTTAGGTGAAAACATGTTCAATAAGAAGTCTTCAAAAGTAAGTCAGTTTAATATACGATAAAGGTGGCCTTTTACATCAGGGATAACTGTGTGGCCATTTGGAAAAAAATAAAATTGGATCCATACTATATGCCTTTACTGCAAAATAAAACCCAGCTGAATCAGAAATATTTAAGCTTTGAAAAATGAAATGCCAGAAGCACCAGAAGAAAACATAGGAAGTTTTTGTTTTTGTTTGTTTCCGTAATCTCAGAGGAGGAAAGGGCTGAAGCCATAATAGAAATCATTGATAAATTAAGGTATATAAAAATCAAACATTTCTGCAGGCCAATATACACATATTGGCCTGCAGAAATGTTTGATGTAGTATTCTAATAATATAGTATATAGTATATATAATAATCCAAGCTATATATATATCAATGTATAACAATAATGTTATGAATAGATATATGTTATATAAGGTCAAATAACCTGGGGAAGAGGAATAGTTGAAGCTTATAATACAGCAAAAGGATGATTTTACATGAATGCCTATAATGCCATGATATATCTGTTATCATGATATCAATCATTCCTCAGAATTGCTCACATCCTGCCACCCTTAGGACCTGCATGGCGGTTGCTCAAAGAGTACCAGCCTACTGCCCGCGCCTTATTCCCCAAC